TTCTTGACGTTCTCTACTGGTCGGGAATCCTTTCCTTTTGAAGGAAGATGTTAGGTGCGATGCGAGAATCTCGTGTAGCTGTCCTCCGGCTCGCAGAAATTCGAAGGAAAGGTTCTGGTCCTGGAGCCGTGGATATCTTCATGGTCTGAATCGCCGTGCGCACTTCAGCAGGTAGAATTCGTGGTGGTACTTCTCCAGTGGGAACAACGGGCATTGGCACGGGTATTGATGAGCGGAAGAGGTTGGTGTAGAAGTTCTTCGCGATAGATTCCATCTTATATCGGGAAGAAGTCGGAGTCCCGTCTTCGTTCAATAGTGCAGCCAGCGGTGCGTAATATTCACAGAGGTGCCTTCGGCACTTCTTGAGATTTCGTCATCCTTCGGCTGATTCCAGTATCTTGTCTTGCCTGTATTTCCTGAGATTCTCCTGCAAAGCTGTTTTGCAACTGGCGTTGGCTATCAGTCGCTCGAGATGGGTTGCATTCGGATCCTGCCTCAGAAATCTTCTTCACTCAAAGCATTTCCTTGGTGGTCTTCGAAATGCGTTCCAAGTTCTTCTCAGAAGTCACTGAGGCGCGCTCTCCACAGGCTCCTGATCCTTTCCTTCTCGCGGCACTGTGAAAGCCTTTTCAGCCTTCGACTAAATCGTATTTTAAGGAGGCGGTGATCGGAACCAGTGCAGAAGGATGGAACTACAGAGACATCGAGTAAGCTCCACCTTCTATTGGTGAGAATGTGGTCGATCTCAGCATGAGTCGTTCCGTTGGGCGATTCCCAAGTCCACCGGCGATATTCTTTCTTCATGAAGATGGAGTTTCCGTGGAAAAGTCGTGCGGCGGAGAGAAGCCCAACGAGACGGTTGCCGTTTTCGTTTCGGAGCCCATATCCAAACTTCCCGATCCTATATTCCTTTTTTCAGTGGATTCCCGATTTTCGCGTTGAAGTCGCCCACAACAAACTTGTAGAAGGACTTCTCGTTGCGGCCGGCCTCCTCATCTTCGTAAAAAGGCATGTAGTTCTGATTCGTCTGGTGCTGCTGTTGGAGAATAGCAGTTGGTGATGCTGGTGGTCTTCTGACGTGGAGGTCGCATTCGTAAAATGGCTAGTCGAGGTGATAGAATCTCGTGCGAATAGATGGACTATGGATGGGTGGACGACAAAGCCAACGCCTCCCACGTTTTGTGGTGGAACCTTCTCACCACGAATGATGAGCGTCCCATCACTCATCTGTCGCACGTCCTTCTTCCTGGGCTTCGTTTCCTGCAGAGCAATAACGTAGTACTTGATGTGCTCTGCAGCGAATCCGTATGGCTGCATCGGAGTCCCTCTTCTCCAACTTATCATGCCTGTTAATCTTCTATTCAAACAAATATCTTATATTGAAGTGAAATTTCAACAAAGTAACACGTTTAAAGTGCGACAAAGGATTGAATTTACCCCCAATTAGCCATATCCTACGCTCTCGAGAGACTGACGGCTCAACTGATTATAAGACTTTCTTCATCATCTTACTTGCGAGTTCGCTTCCTTGTTGGCATTCGCTCTTATTTATTCGGATATTTTCATTTATTTACTTATCTATTATTGCACATAGTGCTCCAACACACTTCAAGGAATGATTTTATGAGTAAACACTCAATTCACAAATTAACATGAAACCATTACTAAAATAAGAAATGATCCAATGCAACCGTCAATCAGGCAAAGTTAGTTTGACACTACCTTACTTTCAGCAAACAATGCGATCATGGCATTGAAAATTGACTGCTACCTAGTAGTTGTATACTTCCTATGCTTGTGAGCATAGAAAGTATACAATGCCTTGCTCAGCAGATAATGTATGCATAATCATCCACTATAATTAGTAATTTCAAATCATCGTCGTTGTAAAGACCCAATCAACTCTGAGCAATAACTGCTAAAGAAAGAACCCCAGAGGCTATTTCATACCATATCTATATAGTATCTCTGTCTCTGTCTCTCTTTCTTTTCTTCTCCCTTCAGAGATTGACATAAGAGGATGAGCCAGGCGATTGCGACAAAGCATACGTGCCTCGGTCAGATCATTCAATACGTTTATTTTAAGTGTTTCGTGCAAAGTTTATGGCGGATATTTTGATATTGGGTCATTTTGGTGATTTCAGAATGCGGGAGAAGACAGACTATGTTGGCTTAGCCGCAAATATAAATGCCTGTACTAGTGCTGCAATATCAATGATGCTCAATGTCTACGTGATGATAGCAGTAAACAAAGGCAGAATCAACTCGACTCTGAGCTTATACAAATGGATGATGTTGTCGTCAGCTGCATTTGATATCATATACAGCGTATTAACAGCAGCTACTTGCCCGGTACGTGCTCAAGGAGAACGCCAAAGTGCACTGTAGCTGATTTTTTTTCCAAACATTTCTGCTTTGGTTGAACGGACTTAGCTGTAAATCGAAATGCTCTTGGCCCTTTTTTTGACAGAATGACAAGAAGTATTATCCTTCTCACTCCTGCATACTATTCGTAGTCCTCATAGCCACAGATGTCAGTACCTCATTGATAGGTGTCAACAATTGACATACAGTCTATAGCAAGAACCTAGCGGGTTCCCGCCATGCCAATTTTGGCCTGATTGGGATTGGGATAGGGTGTATCTGCTTTAGTCGCATTGGCCTACTCTTATGTGGCCTATGGGTTTCCCACTGCAAAGGTATAACAAGACGAAATCAGTTAGCGCTAACAATGTTTGTGCTCTACATGAACTTGGTAAAATCCCATCCGTTTAGTTCCATCAACTTCTCATAAATTTATAATAGTAAAAGCAATCGATGGTTGAAGAAGGTTGCCACTTTCTTGACTGCTGTGTCCACTCTCTGTATTTCAACCTCACCGCAGAGAATTGAGCAATTTTGAAAATTATGTATTTGAATTAGAAATTGATAACTTGCTGGCACACTTGGCACTTGGCCCTATCAATAAGATTAAGATGATGTTTCTATCCGGAACATACGTACAAACGAATACACACATACAGACAGGCATTCAGCTTTATTTAAAGAGGATTCTCACTCTCACATTCTCACTCACCACTCTGAATCAAGTTTCAAGTCCGATTTCTTAGCTTAAGCCGCTGATATAAGAATTAACTTCAAGAAGTTTTTTCTAGAGGAAAATAGATATTTGCGGATAGTGGCCTAATCAGGACTTGACATGAAGTGGCAAGTATGCTAAAAATTATTATTGGGGACAAGGAAAGGGGATAGTATGAATGCAAGTCCACATGCACTACGCACCCTCATGACAAGTTTCCACGGACCGGCGTGCTCAAATATAATCTTGCTCAAAGCTTTTTATAAACTAAGTTTCTTCGCAAAAAATTATGCGAGGATGATTTACACCGTACACAATTGACAATATAATAGGAAACTTGGTATACAGGGTGTCCGTAAACTATGTATACACTGTTTGATCGTTAATATCCGTCTTCCCAACAAGTCTTTTGCCTTGCTTCAGGTACCGTTTTGTAAAGCTGGCTTTAACTTAGATTTACGGTATGGAGCGAATCACTAACGAATCAGCGAATCAGCGAATCTCTTCATTACTGTAAAATTATGGTAGAAACTTGAAACATATGGTGTCAATGTGGAAAAAGCTGCCGCCCCAAAATTTTTCAAAAAAATGTGAAAACTTGTGTAATAAGGTTTTTATGGACGCTGAGTTCAATATTCAACTATTCACAAGGTTGCGAAGCTTTCTAAACGGTGCAACCGCACTTTTTAGGAACATTGAAAAAATGGCCGCTACCTCTTACCCGGCATAAAACTTCAATGAAGCATCATAATAAGTTGCAAACTTTGTAGTTAGAATTAACAACTCTATTTAGCCTAGTGTAAAAGCTGTCGGGCTGTTTTGTTTTCTTTTTGAGGCAAAATATGGCCTTTCATGGCTCACTACCCTCTTTGAAGTTTCTACCGTAATCCTACAGTAATGAAGAGCGATCGGTAATTCGCTCCATACGGTAAATCTAAGTTGGAGCCAGCTCTACAAAACGGTACCTGAAGCAAGGCAAAAGACTTGTCGGGAAGAAAAATAAACGATCAAACGGTGTATAAATACTTTACGGACACCCTGTATAAACGGTGGAGACCTCCAAGGATCAAACGTTTAAGATGTACAGATGGTGGAATCGTGTGGGTGAAAAGTGCAGCTCAATGAAAATGTAAGAATACTAAAATTTATAAAAAGGAGTTCTTTGTTTGCACAGTGGCGATGTGGCTCCAAACTTAGTATGTATTTCGTGGTAGGTTGCCTGTTCTTCATCCAAGGTTAGGAAGAATAACAATTCGGTTTCTTTCCGCATTGTTAGGATCCGAAATAGCACTTTGCTGTTGGTCACTAAGGAAAAAAGCGGGCTCCACTCGAGCGACCCATGAAGTTGGCGCGATCAAGGGGAACGTAGAATTTGAAAGTGGCAAAGGCTAATTTGTTTCTTGAGCGTCCATTCAGCGCAGTCACCTTTGTGCCGGGCCGTTCCTAGCATAACATATTGAAAATGCCAGATTAGTTTAATATCATGATAGAAAAATGCTCTCATGTTTTGAAAATCTCAATGCAGACTATCGCTTCTGTCAGCGAATGGTCATCCGTTTTGTTCGTGAACGGTGGACTTCTGACGTCCTACGATGTTGGACAGAATCTCCTTATGGTTTGGATAGTGTTACTATGTATCTCAATGGTCATGTCGCCATGTCATTTTGTACTCCGCTACGTGCAAGTCTGTAGGTGGGAGATATCATTTTTGAAAGCTGTGCAGAGAGGCAAATAAGCAGCAATGAGTACCTTGATAAGAAATTGAAAAAACTAGTTTTGGTTTTTGAAGAGAAAAGCAAGCAATGCAACTTGATCACCTAAAGGCTTAACTGTATCTAGAACCCACTGGTTGAAAATCCATGGTAGGCGGATCATGTATGTTTTTATCATTCCTTTATTTCTGTCGGTCTCTGCTGCCACCATGTTGGTCTTCGCTGCTTACCCTACTGAACAGGACATTGAAGAATTTAAAAATCTGGCATATCATATCAATACAAATGGCTTTAGTCCATTTTTCGTAGCATCTTTGTATGTGAGTCTATGCGTACTAAACTGCAATTCTAAATCTAGACCAAATGCTTATGCTGTCAAAAATTTAGCCTGAAGGAGAGGAAGAATTTACACAATCACGAGTACTTATAGCAGCCTGTGTAAACTTAGTATTTAATTTAATTTGCGGTATTTCTGCAATGCTAATTTGCACTCGATGTATGTTGGCTGCGGTGAGGAATTGCACCAGCTCTAAATCTATGCTACTTCAAACTCGATTGCAAAAGCTGTTAATTGTACAGGTAACCGACTATAATTAATTAGTCTGTAATATTTGTTCTTAGTTCTATTGTTTTCCAGTTTCTTATTCCCTTCATCTCTATACACGTACCATTCTGCTTGTGTTGTTTGGGACCACTTTTAAATCTAGAAATTACGGGTCTAGCTAATTTTCTGCCATTTCTTTTTGCGTGGTCTCCTGTTCTTAATCCTGCTGCTGTCCTATATTTCGTGAGAGAATTATGGCGTCCTCTGCAAAAACTTTTACCTTTTTCCAAAGTGGTTCCAATAGCACGTGAGACGACTACGTAAGTTTTGTGATATATCGTGTATATGACAAATAACCTATAGATTCTGCTGTATGTGAAACTGATCATTTCTACAGGGACATACAAGGCGCCAGGAATCAGCCAAAGGATTACCGACTACGCGAACTGCTTATCATATACCCTCTGTTGTTCGTCAATAAGTTTCGAATGAAATTCTATTCTCGCTAGATCAAGTGAGTGCCACTGATTATTTCCTACTAAGGTAAAGATCTTTCCTTCCTTGTGTTTTAGAATTGTACAATTTGGCAAGTGTAATCATCTTTACTAACAAATAAAGTATGCTAAATATAAGTCAATTTAGCCGTTTGTAGCAAGACATGTGCGGTTTATGTTGGAACGGTAAGCTCATACCTGCATACACTATCTGATGAATGGCCTTCTAAAAAAACCTCTTCCAACGGTAAGCAGCCTTTTATCAGAACACGGTAAGGGTGCTGCTGAAGCATGGCTGGTCAAATGTTAAGTGAAGTTAGCCAAACTGTCACAGTTTCAGATCTGTTGCACCCACTTCCTTTTTTAATTCAGTTAATATGGCCACAACCTTTTTCAAAAGATTTTCAGCAGATACCGAATGCGAATTTGAGCTTAGCGTTCTAAACAAAGATGAACTATGTCCTTGTCACAAACGGCTTGGCTGGCAAAAGTACCTTATAAGAACTCAAGTGTTTTTGTAATGTTTCACTGCGTTAATCGATAGAATTTTGCAGGAGCGTTGGCGTGATTACTGACGCTCAACTGCCTTTCATATCTGAATCCTTGTTTTCAACCTTTATCGCCATGTTTATTGTACGGTTCTGCCTGGCACGTATACAAGACCTTTATCTCATTGATCGACGGCCATCTCGGAATCGTATCTTAAAAATTTGTGACACCACCATCGAAATAAAAATATTCCACACTGTTAATTGTAAATAATCATGCGATAACTAAGAGCTTACTTTGTTTATATGATCTCTAAAAACACAGTGAGTTTCTTAACATCATTGCTCAACCCTTCTACAGACAGCAGGCAACGTTAACAAAGTGAATGCACTTTTCTCCTTCGTTCTCGTATACTCTGTTTTGTTGCCATCCCATCCTATACGCGAACATGCAAAGAAAAACCTCGTAAGAATTTTGAATTTGCAAACAGTTTTTTAAGGATGTCTCGACACTGCTTGAATATCACTTTTAAACATCAGTAAATAATTTTCGACTGTTTTTCCTGGTATTCAAAAAAAATTTCTGTCCAAATCCTGAGGATCAGGACATAGGTTATTGTCGTCATTTAGCAGCCGTAACATGACAATCACTACGTTTGTCATACGATTGCTCTAGAAGAGTTACTTGTGTATTAGTTGAATGCATGTCTTCATCTAAATCTTGGTCAAAAAAATCTTTTTAGCATATACTAGATTGTTCCGAAAGTTCTGTCCGATTTCTAGTTGCCTTGTTTCAACGCAGCTAGTTTCTTGGAGTTTTGTACTTATTGCAGATATATGAATATCATTTGAAAGCACTTTTCTTGCTCTTTCTAGTGCTCACTAATGCTTGACGAAACGTCTTCTCAGTAATAAAAGTCCGACCCAAATGCCAAAATGCAGTTTGCTCAAGAAAAGTTTCTATAAACAGAATTTCCGCAGTATTCGTAAAATCAAATGTGTAATATTTTATAATGGGTCAGAATGTAATATGCTAACATACGCACACTTCATCTTCAACAAAGCGAAGGTCTTACTTTTTCAATTTTTTCTCAAAGGTGGAAGGCAAACTCAGTTGTTCAAAAAGTAACAACAATCTACGTACAGCGAACAGTGGTGCACTCAATAACGCATATGGTAGAGAGTAAAGCGAGAGCAAGCGGGGACCATTGGCCAATTAGCCTTTTTCTTTCGCGACAGCAAGAAAAAATCAGATATTAGAAGGTCGAGGTATTGCGCGCGCGGAGGAGGGCTCAAATAATGGATTTTTTGATGTGCTTGTAAAACTTTTTGCACAGCAAAGTGCTCGAATTCTCTTTAGCCGTAGACGAATCCCTGAAGTATAGGCTACTCAATGGTGGCAGCCGAATATGTCCGCGTATCCTTATATGGAAGCATTAGAACGTCCAAGTAGGAGGTTTTGAAGGATACTCTGCAAAATACCCAAATTTTCTCTTCTCTCTCGCTTATTTTGTTTACATGTCATACTATGGTTTTGATAGATGGAACTTCGCTTAATCCAACAAAATTTAACTTGTGCAAAAATGTTGCTTTTGAAGAGAGTTATAACATTTTTAATCGGAAACAACAGTGAAAATTTGCGCGCGCCGCGTTCATGCCCACCAAGAATACTGCTTCTGCGCCTTCGCCAGCAGCAGCTTTTAGCTATAAAGGCATACTGCTCTTCTCCTATAAAGTGCACCTCGTTCATGCCCGCTTACATTGGGCCGCCTCAATCTGAGCAGACTTTACGTGGCATGTTGGATTGTCCCAAACAAAATCTCTCAGTTACAACTTTTACAATGTTCTACAACACATGCAAGTCTTTTAAAGCAAGTATGTGACAACAAAAAGTTGTATGCATTTTCCAAGTACGCAAGTACGTTCCATAACATTTAACACCAATCGAACACGATTAGCAAGCACCTAGAACACTTTCACTTAAGGTGTTTCAGGATCTAACGAAAATTACCCTTTTCATTTCTAATCATCTGGTTTTGTGCTTCTTCAGCGCCCGTTATATGGGTTATACAATGTGGCCAACAAGAAATAAATGAGAAAAGAGAAAAGTGAAAGACAAGACAAACACGACCAAACGGTTGAAACGAAGAAGTGGATGCAAACTATTTTTTTAAGAGATTTTAATCAAAAAGTCTAACAAAGATAGCAGAGGTTACACGAATTGTACGAAGTTACAATAGTACGTTTTACGTTTTAACGTTTCATTTTACGTTAGTTACTCAACTGTCATGAAGAGGCTGCATGAAATCTTGGAAAAGAAGTTGACTGCTCAAGTAAGATGTACGGCATGATGAGCTCGCGCTTATGCCGCATGCAAGGGCAGGCGTCGACACTGCGAAGCTGAAGCGAGGTCCCCTCTAATTTTGCAGAAAATTATGACGTGAATATAAAGTTTTCTATAGGTACGCTCCAAAACAATCTGTATCGAAAGATGAGTGGGAGGAAGTAGGGGGGAGACAGGGCAAGGATAAAGCAGCGAAAAGGGCGAGCACTCGCTGTTATCATACTAAGAGCAGAGGGATCAAATCTGAAACGACTCAGGACTAATAATTAGAGCTCGAGCTCAAATAAAATTCTAAAAATTGCAATAACGATGAGGAAGAGGAAAATTTGTGATTTTCTTCCGCGTCAGCTCGGCTGGCATAGCTGGCACGGTGCAGCGGATTAGGAAGCAGTTTGATACGCCTTCCTTTTGAAAGATCTTTTTATAATTTCAAAGCACAATTCTCCTATTCCTCATTGTCCATATACACATAACATTTGGTGCTATATCAATGGATAGTCGTAGTAAATTAAGTCACTTATTAATTTGGGACCTTTCTTGGATTCCGGCGCAATATGAGATCTTTCGTTGTTGGTGCACGCAATCAATGGCCCTGTAGTAATTTGTTTGAAACTGCTGACACAGAGATTTTCTATAAGCACGTATGCACATGTGCAAACGAGTGTATAAAATTTCGCATTGCCTTATTCCTCAAGAACCCGCTTGCTTTTGTGTCAAATCCTTGCTGCATCGCTTTAATAACGGAGATTGACTTCCTCGAGGTTCGGCTCTTCACTTCCCGGGGCTTTCCATGGCGCTAACCTATGGAGACCGTAAAAATGGCGAAAACCAAAGCTCTCTTTTTTAAACTGAACGAATGGACACAGAACCTGCCAATGTTGAAAAAGCGAAGTCGCTGAACCCTTAATCGGCATACCTTTTAACAAAGGAAGGATACTAACTTAGATTCGCCTACTGAGATGAGACACATATATCTAGAATCAGCTTGGACCGCTGATTTCAGATATGCTGTTCTAGCTGCCTAGCATTATTCTGAAGCGAGTTATGGTCTCTTTTCTAAGCAAAATTTGCGTGCTCCTCTAGCTACGGATGACACGGTGTCGACGTTTAGGGTTTTGCAATTGTATAATGCTCCCTTTCAAGATTGAAAGATTTGATCTGATGCTAGTTCAACATCCTAGCACTTTTTTTCGAGCAGATTCATATCTATACGCCTTACGACATTCAGAAGTTTGTTAATTACTCACAATGGCAGGCCCATAACTCGCTCCGGAATAAAGCTAAGCAGCTAGGAACAGCATATTTGGGATCAGCGTTCAAAGCTGATTCCAAGTGTATGCGTCTCATCTCAGAAGGGGAATCTAAGTTAGTATCCTTCCCTTGTAAGGCCTAGATGAGGTGCATCCTCGCGGGAAGAGGAGAGAAGCTATACGAGGTTCTCTATCCCGGTACTCTGAAAATCTGAACATTTACACCGCTGCCTCTTCTTCAAGTTCCTCAAATAAACACATTGAACAAGAAAGCATTATTCACTCAAGTTGTGATATTCGGTGTTTTTTTTTTGATTTTCAAAGATTCGGTTTTACTTATTATTCGAATTTATAGGTCAGTGCGGTATGAGGTCTCCGGGGATTTGTCCCATTTTATTATTGATCGTATAGAACACCTATCCAATTTTGTGCGGCATTCCCAAACTTCTGGAGACGGGAGGTAGGGCAATTTGAACAACTCAAAATGCATCTGAGCAGAGGAATTCGAAAGTTTGTATTACAAGTCCCTCATCTCCGTACTGCATGGCATTGCTTGAAGGAGTGCAAGCAGAATTAGTTCGAGACAAATTTCTTCGTGAAACCCGTACTCCGTGCTCGGTACTTTCTGGTGCTCAATTGGGCTCGAGTAGTTTACTACAAAATGCCCCTGAATTTGTGATCTTGCCAAGCCTTTGTCTCTGCGCATTATTCAACAATCATTTCCACATTTTCTGGTTTTTTCTGAGCTCCTGATGGGCCGAAAATTTTGCACCAAAATTTCTTGTAGCTTCTGCAATACATTACGCCGCTCATTTTTCTGAAGCGGTATGTGACGTCGCCGAGATTGAAGAGATAAAGAGTTTTACTCCGGCCCTGAAGCTGCAAAAACTTCAACCATCTGAGGACATTAGATTAATTTAGATAGAAAGATCA